ATTCTGTATTTTTTTATGTTGTAAACGTGTTGCTATGAATTGAGACTGACCCAACAGCATCTAACAACAACAGTTAAATTTAACAATCACTTTCAGTGGGGTCTTTGCTTAATATTCAATCAACTGAAGTGAAAAAATGAAATGGTTTTAAGTAATCTGTCTTTCAACATACCTAAATTACCTTAAACATATTAAACTTAATGTTGTTGTTGTAATGTGCCATCGAGTCGGATCTGACTCATAGCAACCGCTCCTTGGGTTTCCGAGGCAGTATCACTACGGAAGTAGATTGCCCATCTTCCTTCCGAGGAGTGGCTGGTGGGTTTGAACCGCCAGCCTTCTGGTTAGCAGTCAAGTGCCTTAACCACTATGCTACCAGAGCTCCCATTAAACTTAACATATTTGATTTTTTTTTTTAACATTTCAGTTGTCTCTAATAAGCACAACTTTCCCAAGTACTTCAGCCTCTCTTAATTCTAATAAATTTATAAATATAGTTAGTCTTATAGTCTTTTTGGGGAGCTCCGGTGGCATAGTGCCTAAGACATTTGACTGCTAATGAGAAAGCTGGTGGTTCAAACTCACCAGCTCCTTGGAAGGAAGGCTGGGCAATCTAATTCTGTAGTGATACCGTGTATTCTAATACTCTTTATAAACTTAGTGAAATGTACATACTCCTTTCTTCCAATGAAAAAGTTATATATCCAAAATGAATTTCTCAATTACACATTTTAAGTTAGAATCATAAGGCTAATCTATTAGATACTCTTAAAGTGTAAATTGTCTAAAACTATGCATATAACTTTCTAAAATAAAAAAATAATACAAGATTTTTAAGTATAAGATATTCCCTGATTACCTAATTATTAACACCCATTTTTTTATATTAATTTAAAAGTACACAGAAGAATAAAGCAATATCTAACATTTTGGGAACTCTAAGTAATTTACTTAAACTATGGCTAGAAGGAAGTGCCCAGGTAGGGAAGTGATAAGAACATAAAGCTAAAGAGGTGGGCAGGAGCTATATCACAAAGGACTTTGTGTCCTCATCCCGAGGAGTCATTGAAGAATTATGAGTAGAAGAGTAGCATAATCATTTTCTGTTTTAGAAAGATCACTTCACGAGCAATTGTAAAAGATATGTAGGATAAAAAATTGGATTTAGGAAGACTACTGTAGTAAAGAGGAGCTCTGGTAGCATAGTGCCTAAGGCAATTAATTGACTGCTAACCAGAAGGCTGGCAGTTCAAACCCACCAGCCACTCCTCGGAAGGAAGGTTGGACAATCTACTTCCGTAGTGTTACTGCCTCAGAAACCCAAGGAGTGGTTGCTGTGAGTTGGATCCAACTTGACGGCACATAACAATAACAACAACAACTTTGTAGTAAAGAGGCTATAGAATAATCTAGACAAATGTTATGATCTGACAAGAAGGCATTAGCAATAGCACTAGAGAAAAGGGATTAGAGAGAAGTTATGAAAATATTATAGATCTTCAGAGCTTAGATATGGAAGATAAGAGAAGAATCCAGAAAGACTTTTAGGTTTCTGTATTATGATTATGATATTGAAATAGAATATCTCCAAATGAAAAGCAAGTTAAGGGGCAAGGAGGGACAATGAATATTTTGTATTTTGAGTTCCATTTTGAACACATGAATTTGAAATGTCATAGAAACACTCAAGTAACTGGGTATATAGACCAGGAACTCAGCAAAGAGTTTTGGTTACAGATATAGATTGAGAGTCCCTGGCATTTAGATGACATTTGAAGCTATTGGAGTCATTCATTCATTTATTTAACAAATATTTTTTGAGTACCCATTATGAGTGAGACACTGTTGTAGGGATATAGCAAGGAACAAAACAGACAAATCTCTAATTGCATGAAAATAACATGGGGGAGACAGACTAAATGAATATGTATGTTTAGTGGGTTACACAAGGAGTTCACTATAGGTGGAATATGGTGAGCAAGAGAAAGAATGGAGGAAATAGTGATGGAGAGTTAATGTGGGCTCAGATTGTATAGGCCTTATTGTCCATTCTTAGGACTTTTGCCCTTATCCTTAGGGAGCTGTGGAGACAGGAAGGGTTTGAGCAGAAATGTGGCATCATTTCATGTATATAGATGATAGCATTCAGAAGGAGAATAGAATGAGAAGTGTAGAAGAACAAGGATAGAGCCCTTGGAATACCAATTATTTTTCTTATCAACATTATTGAGGTAGAAGTCACATACTGTGTAGTTCATCTATTTAAAGTATATAATTCAGTGGTTCTTAGTATACTCACAGAATTGTGCATTTATCATCATAATCTAATTTTAGAACATTTTGTCATCCCAAAAAGAGACTTCAAACCCTGTGGCGAGTCACTACTTCATTACCCATGGAGTTCCTGTGTGGTACTAAGAGTTAAGTGCTTGACTACTAACTGAAAGTTGGTGATTCAAACTGCTCTGCACCCCCCCCCCCCCCCCGCCCGCCAGAGGAACCTTGGAAGAAAGGCCTGGTGACCTGTTTTGGAAAACCCTGTGGAGTTCAGTTCTACTCTGCAACATGTGGGGTTGCCATGAGTTGTCATTGACTTGATGGCAACTTGGTTTGGTTTTTTTTAGTTATGCATTACCCACCCCACCTCCTAGTTCTAAACAACCACTAATTCACTTTCTTTCTTTTTTAATTCACTTTCTGTACATTTTCCTATTCTGAACATTTCACAGGAATGGAATCATAAAATATGGAGTCTGTTGTCAATGACTTCTTTCACGTAACATATTTTCAGGGTTCATCGATGTTATAACTTGATTCCTTTTTCTTTTACCTTTTTTTTTTTTTTAACTTTGTTTCTTTCTGTTGTTGGGTACCATCATGTTGATTCTCACTAATAGCAACCCCATGTGACAGTAGAACTGCCTCATAGGGCTTTCTTGGATGTAATCTTTATGGAAGCAGATTGCCAGATCTTTCTCCTAGAGAGTTACTGGGTAGGTTGAATTCACCAACTTTTTGGTTGATGAAAATTCACCAACTTTTTGGTCGATGAAAGTTAAGCACTTTTTGCCAAGTGCTTAACTGTTTTGCCACCAATGTTCCTTCATTCCTTTTTACTGCTGACTAATATTCCATCGAATGGACAGACCACATTTTATTTACGCATTCATCAGTTGGTGTACATTGGGTTGTTTCCACCTTTTACTGTTATTGAATAGTGCTGCTATGAATATTCATATACAAATTTTTGATATGTCTTTTCCTTTCTCTTGGGAGTATATCTAGGACTAGAATTACTAGGTCATATTGTGAGGCTGGTGTAGGACTGGGCACTGTTTCATTCTGCTGTACTTAGGGTTGCTATGAGTTGGTGCTGATTCGGTGGCATCTAACACCACCAACAACAAGACGGGTAACTATGTTTAACCTTTTGAGGAACTGTCAGAATGCTTTCCAAAGTGGCAGAAACACCAGTATTTAGTGGAAAACCTGCAGTAAAAAAGATGGCTAGACTTGTAAGGGGAGAGCCAGAAACATAATAGTCACCTTAGCTTTCTTTTTTTTTTCCTTTTACCCCTGACATTCAGTTGGTCAGTAAGTCTTATCCATCATACCTCATAAGTATTTGTCTTAACTTCGATGCTGATGACTTATCTCAAGCACTTATCATCTCCATGACTCCTCCACCCTTATGTTTTGCCCCTCTCTAATGCATTCCAAGTAGCCCTGGTGATGTAGTGGTTAAAATGGTCATCTGCCAACCAAAAGGTTGGCATCTTAAACCTACTGGCCACTCCAGGGAGAAAGATGTGGCAGTTTGCTTCATAAAATTTATAGCCTTGGAAATCCCACAGGGCAGTTTTACTCTGTCCTTTAGGATTGGTGTGAGTTGGAATTCACTCTGTGGCACTGAGTTTGGTTGAGGCATTCCAGAAGCGCTGTTGGTGCAAAAGTTAGTTGCTTGGCTACTAACCAGAAGGTTGGCATTTGAGCCCACCCAGTATTTCTGTGGGAGAAAGACCCAGTGATCTATTACCATAAACATTACAACCTAGAAAACCCAAAAGGCCAGTTCTACTCTCATCACATGGGGTCACTATGAGTAGATTGCCACATCTAGCAAAACCGCACAGGTCACAAAGTGAAGCAACATGAAAGGATTAATAGTTTTATTCTTTTTTTATTTAAAAGGAATGGGGGCCAGGCGGATGCCCTGCATGTTCTGCGAGAGCGACCCCTGATGCCTTTGTTGTACTTTATTTATATGTTTGTATATGATTACATCATTAGTCTTGGAAGTCATACAGTCAGCTTATTCTCCACAGAGCTAAAGTTTTACTCCTCTGTGTGCTCAAGGACAACAGTTGGTCATTACAACAATCACAGAAATCTTCTCAGGAATAAGGAGTATAAAACAATAAATGTTTAGTAGGACACAGTGATGCAAAGTATGTGACATCCCAATAACATAAAAAACATGGAGAATAACATCTACTTTTAATACTTTGATGTTTTGCCAATTAAATATTTAACAGAGAGAGACCTTGCCATCTCTTAAAGCAACACTCAACCACAGAGAGGGCTTGCCATCTCTAAAAGCAAACACTCAATCACAAGAGAGGCCTTGTCATCTCTTCACTGTAATTAGAACATGTGCCTTGCAATCATGTTCTTTTGGGGGTCTTTTTCTTGGTTCCCAACAGTAGATGGCATCTAGCAACAATGCATTCCACTTCTCTTTCCTTTCCAAATCTATTCCAAGGTCCTCATGGTTGGGATTAAGTTCTTCAGTTTTTTATGTGGATACCTTTGGTTTCTTGCACTAAGTAGCTGCCGAAGAGACATTTGAAGTGGATGCACTTTCAAAGTCAAGTTAAACAAAATGAGTAATCCTTTTATTATGTGATTTATTTATATAATTTTTGATGTGCTGTTGAAGGGTATAAGAAAAGTAGAATTTTATTCTGTTTCTCTTTAACATTCATTTTGTTTTAATATAGGCAATTTTATATGATGACAAAGGAGATTGTCTGGAGAGCATATTTCTTAAGCACCTTGAGGTATTGTAATGTGTTTGTCTTATTGTGGAATTACTGTTTAAAAAAAATCTCTGCTTTATGAATGTTGTTAAAACGTATAGTCATACATCAAGCTCAATTGGCATAATATACTACACAAAACATTGTTCCACCTCCTGCTGTGGTGAGTAGTGACTGGAATCTTAAAAGCTTGCAAGCTGCTATCTAGATGCAACGATGGGTCTCTCCTCATCCAGAGCCAAGAAGAATGAAGAAAACCAAAAATTCATGAAAACAACTAGTCCTAGCAACTGGTACACCATCTCATCTGCAGCCTATACGACTATGAGACCAGAAAAACTAGATGGTGCCCGGCTACTACTGTCAACCACTTGGAAGAGGATCTATGTAGGAGATCCTGGATAGACAGGGAGAACAATGTGGAACAAAACTCAAAATCATTTGGAAAAAAAAAAAAGGGGGAGGAGGGACCAGGTTTGCTGGCCTGATGGAGCCTGGTGGAACCACTGAGACTATGGCCCCTACCTGCCCTTCAGATCTGGAATTGAATGCACACCTGTGGCTTCCAGCCAAACAATAAACAGGCATATGAGTTGAACATTTACCTGAGGTAGATACACTCCTTGGAGAGAATAAGCATGGGAGAAAGAAGGTCTGCTTATGCACAGGGAGACAGCTCAAGGGGCAGGAGTGCATGGAGGGATGGACACAGGGAAGAGGTAACTATCAGGAGGAGGTGGGAGGAGAGATGTTGCATTGTGGTAAATTGTGGTCAATGTCATGAGACAAAGTGTATGTGAACTGCTTTATGGAAAGTATATTTGCTCTGTAAATTTTCACCCAAATCACAATAAAAAAAAAAAGTACAGTCATAGTATTAATATTAATAATTGTTAATAGTATTTTTTGAACATTTGTTATTGGCCAAATTCTATTCTAGAAGGTTTCAGATATTTCATTTATTGTTTACAACAACCTTATGATTTTTATAATTCAGGACTGTAGTACCTAAAGGTTGAGTAACTTGCCCACATTCATAGAGTTCTAGTGGTGGGACTGAGATTCAAACTTAAGAAGTACAGCTCTACTACATGACATTGACCGCAAATATCTATAATTATATTTATAATTGTTGAAATTATTGCCTACTGTAAAATGTGCATCACATACAACCTTACTTTGATCTGAAGATCAGAAATAACTTGCATAAAGTGGCTAGCACTTTAATACAGTGATTCTGAAAGTGTTAAAATATGTATTGCTATTACCATTGTGTTGATTTTTTTTAAGAGCTTGTTTTACATTCAGAGTCACACGTACATTTAGTTTCATTCCCATTCACCATGTCCAACCCTAACCCAGTCTCCTCCCTACCCTGCAACACTCCCCCTGTGCCCCTCATAATTATGCACTCATGTTTGTCCTACATTTCCTCGTGGTTTATTGCTTTAGGGGATGTATTACCATTGAGTGTGTGGGTGCAGCATCCTGGGTTGAGTGGTCTGCGTGTACATCTCACTTTACGTTGGGCTGAGAGCCTGCCCCTGGGGGTGAGTTTTATTCCAGGTGCCAAATGTATTTCAGGGCCATAGTATTGGGAGTCTCACCAGGCTTCATCTGACTAGAATTCTGGTCATTATTGAGTTTTGGGATTTTGTTCCATGTTTTCTCTCCCACTCTATCCAGGATCTCCAGATTTGATCCTTTCCTGAGTGGTTGGCATTGGTAGCCGGGCATCATCCAGTTCTTCTGGTCTCGAGGGCCATCATGTCCTAGGGTTGATTGCTTCTAAATGCTCTTGTGGGTTTTTTTTTTTTTTTTGTGCGCTCTTCTTCACTTCCATTGCTAGGAGACCATTAGCTGCATCCTAGATGGCTGCTTGAAAGCTTTTAAGACCCCAGTTGCTACTCACCAATGTAGGATGTGGAGCAATGCTTTTATGTATTTTGTTGTGCCAGTTGAGTCTGGTGTCCCCCAGTACTATGGTCCTGAGGCAGTAACTCTATTGGATCTCTCTCCCACAGTGTTGGGATCCATTGTATTGACTTTTATAAATTAATTTTGAAATTTTACATGATATTAATAGTGGGTGTAATATTTTTACATTTATTAAAAGAGCATATAGGAGTGCTATCTTTGTTGGTGCTTAATTTATGGTAACTGCTGTTGCTATTATTTCATCTTATAAATCATTTCATTAGTAAAATATTAATCTCATACAAATGTCTATTATCAAACTAGATTGATAATTTTATTTTATAGTCAGGTGGTGGCTAGTGCTGTATTTTATTCATTAAAGTGATTAAAATGCTTTTTGGAATATGATTATTTAAGCAACTGGAATAATTTGTATTAACGTTGAACTTAGAATAATTATGAGTATGTATCTAATTCAGTTTATTTTATAAAGATATGTAATTAATATTTAGTAGCTTTAATTTATTAAAAAAAAAAAAAATTACACTTAGTTGAATGGATTCTAAGTGAACTTCTTAAAAGGCCTTTTTTCCTTGCTTGTTTTTGTATCTCCAGCATGTAACAAAGGGCCTCGCATAGGCCTCCAATATGTATCGTTAATGAACAAATGAGTAGGTTATTTTTTGTTGTATTATTATTATTATTGTGCTTATTGATAAATAATCAGTGCATAATAATAAATTCATTCATTCAACACCTATTTATTGAACATCCATTGGATCTTGTTCAGTGTTAGTATGGTGAGTTTACTTGAGCACATAAATAATCAAATAATTAATGTATATGATTTTGACATTTATTCTTTAAAATTTAGGTGAAACCTGGAGATGACTTAGAAAGTGATCGGTACTTGATCACAGTTGAGGAGGTTAAAGGTGCTGGAAGCATAGCTCTTAAGCACGATGTCGTTAAAGAAGCACCAGAGTTAAAGTCAAGGAGGTTTGTCTCTTCTGGCCGATCACTTGGATGTCAGCCTGCTGGTTTAAAAAGGAAGTTTCCTGTAAGTTTCTCTGTTGAAATAATAAATCAAATATATTTATGAACTCAATTCAAGAAGCAGTGAATTTTGAAGCTATTGTACTCTATCATTAAAATTGTACTTCATAGTGTACTTAGGTAGAAAGGAAATAAGTCCTAATCAGAAAAACTCTTAATACAAATGAAAATTAGTATTTTATTTTAGTGGATTTAAATGTTAATTATTACTTTACATTAGGCAAAACAGACACTTTTTTTTTTGCTATTTTATTTAACATTTCTCTGTGTAAGTACTGCTTTTTACCTTTTAATAGGTAATTGTCTTAATTGTTTCATTGTTTTTAGGGTTTTTTAGGGCCATATCAAGTGCCAAAGAAAATGGTTGCAACTGAAAATGGACAACCTGCTGCATCACTTGAAGCTAAGAAACCTGGTCCAACTTTTCTTTCTCCACTGTATAGCATGTCTCCTTTATTTTCTACTGCTAGCCAGAAAGATACAAAAAATATCCCAACAGACTCTAACAACACTGTCACATACAAGAACAGAGAGAGAAATGACTTGCTTTCTTCTTCAGTTGTCTCTACTCCATCCTTTAAGATTTACCCAGAAGTGCTATGTAGAGAAAATTATTTTTGCTCTGCCGACAGCTCTGTAAGTAAGGACGCAGACTCTTTAGTGGCCAATAAACCTATGAAAAGAGATAGGTTGACATCTCACTGTTCAGGAATTTCACAAAACATCAGGAGCAAAGCACAGATATTAGCCCTTCTGAAGTCTAAATCTACAAGTACAGGTAAAGAACTGAATTCTGAGAATACAGACCATTTTCCACAAATCCATCCACAAGAAAGTATAAAAATCCCTGCTAAACCAAAGTGCTTATTTGAACAAGAAAAGTGTACTGAGGTGAAGAGCATAGAAACTTTACACTACCAGCATCAATCAGAAAGTGCCATGAGAAATAAGAGCCAATGGGCCATGTATCTATCATCACAGAGTTCGCTTATACATTCTTCTGATATAGATGAAAGTGGTACAGAAAGGAAACACAAGGTCCAGGAAGATGATATAAATGCAAATATGAAAGACCTTTTAATACAAAAGAAGTTCTTTGAAACAGATTGTGAAATGGGGGAAAAGTATAATGAAGACAAGCAAGTAGATGATAACCATCCATCCTCCTGGGATCAGGAAGTAAATTTTGAAATTACTTCATCCAATAAAAGTGCTAGCTTACCAGGTAACTATAGCAATGCAGAAAATAATGGCTTATTATCAGTACCTCATGTTCAAGGAAATAATAAAATATCTCTTAATCATAATGACCAAGTATGTGTAAAAGGACCAATTATTACCAGAGAAAATTCTTTGGAAGTAAATACATGTGGGACACCAGAAATAGAATGTAAACAACCAGTGTCTTCTCTGACAGACTGGGAGCATATACAGATAGAATCTTCTCTAAGTAACGATTTTGGCATCTCTGATGATAGCTCAGGCATGTTTTCTAAAAGTAATGCTAATCATGAAGGAATTAATAGTATTAATGAACCTATGAGTGATGTACCACAGCCATTTTTGGAAATAACTTTTAATCTGAACAATTTTGAGACCAGTGACACCGAGGAAGAACCACAGGAAGGCAGCAAAATTTCCCAGGACTCAGAATGTTTGGTAAAGGAAATGTTGGTTAATAACAATTCATGTGTTCAAAAGAGATGTGAGAATAAAAGCTATAAGGAAATTGGCAGTGAAAATTTGCCTCTCTCAATGTCTGTTGGTGGCAAACCTATAGAGCCATTACCTACTAGAGACACTCTGCCGACACAGCTTAGTGCTAGAACTCGTGTGGATTTTGACACGGGAACTTTTAAAGCTGAAAATACTGGGAAAGAAAGAAAGGAGTTTAGTGACACATTAAGTAATTTTGACTCTGAGTGGACTGGTGATATGTGTGTAGATAGCAATGAGGATGCTAATAAATCTATCCAGAAAATCAAAACTGACTGTGATGTTGTTTCACTCTCAAATAAATTTAAAGGCATAGAAACAAACTTACATATTCATCAGTTTTTAGGTGTGGCCACTGATCAGACTCCTGAAAACAATACCCTATTTACAGAAGACACTCAACCTCAGCCTTTTATTTTGGGAAGCAACTTGGACAAAACTGATGATCAGGTTTTCTCATCACCCTCTAGCAATGACAATAGTATCCAGCTATTAAACACCAATCAAAGTCATTCTGAATATATTGCACTTGATGAATCAACTACCCAAGTTTCCAATACTTCCTTTTACCCTCTGAGAGAAAAGAGTTCTTTTTCCAAAGAACCAGAAGCACATAGTCCTGGATCTAAAGATTTGGGGACGATTGGAAGTTTATCCCATGAACACACTGAAATAGAAAGTGCTGAAAATTGCAAACGTGATTGGAATAATTCTGGGAACTCTTCAGGACTTTCTGGATTAGTGAATAATATTTCCCTTTTAAGGTCTCTGTCTGAACACAGTACAGCTTTAGAAAGCTTGGAAGTATTCCAAAAGAAAAATACATCTAAACAACAAGGATTTCAGCAGACATCTGCACCTGAAAGCAGTCCTGAAGGTTAGAATGACATGTCTGTTTAGGATTGTTCTCTTTGTAACTCAAAAGGATTAGAAGATATTTGCTTCTGGGGGCTACATTAAAGAATTATATAATGTTTAAATAGGTAATACGTATACTTGATAAAATTAATTTTGTTCGGACAATAAAATAGTAATTCTCCTTCCTAGAGAGTTCATTAGTCTACTCCTCAGAATTACCCAGTTTTTTGTTTATGCTTTCAGAAATAGTCTATGCATATTATGTTGTTGTAGTTGTTAGGTGCTGTTGAGTTGACTGTGACTCATAATGACCTTATGTATCACAGAATGAAACACTGATGAGTCTGTAGCAGCCTCGCAGTCCTTGCTATACTTGAGCCCATCGTTGCAGCAACTTATCAATCCATCTTATTGAGGGTCTTCCCCTTTTTCACTGACCCTCTACCTTACCAAGCATGATATCCTTCTCCAGGGAATGGTCCTTTCTCACCGCATGACCAAAGTAGGTGAGATGAAATGGTTTCACTTCTTCCAGGACAGTTCATTCTTCTGACAGCCCATGATAGTTTCAGTATTATTTGCCAACACTGTAGTTCTAAGGCACCAATTCTTCTTTGGTCTTTCCTATTCATTGTCCAGCTTTCACATGCATATAAAATGATTGAAAATACCGTGGCCCCAGTCAAGTGCAACCCAGTCTTCAAAGTAACATCTCCACTTCCTAATACTTGAAAGAGGTATTTTATAGCAGATCTGCCCAGTGCTATA